GATTCTTCAATTTTGTTACATAGTTTGAATAGAAGATAAGTTCTTTTTAAATGTCTATGTCTAATATTATTTAAAAAAATATCAAATACAAAATATTGCTTTCCGTTATCAAGGGTTTCATGTAGAAATTACAATTAAGTTGGTACTTCTATAGTTTTGACGTGACAACGTCTTATAAATTGGTTTGCCGGGTGACACTTCAAGAAACTGCGTTACGCTCCGCTCACGTTATGCGCTCACAATGAGAGCGAGTGAGAGGCACGCGTCCCTTCCACTCGGGCATGGTTAGCCCGCCTAAGAGCGAGAGGGACAGACATAAAAAGTGAAAGGCACGCGTCCCTTCCACTCGGGCATGGTTAGCCCGCCTAAGAGCGAGAGGGACAGACATAAAAAGTGAGAGGCACGCGTCATTTTACCACTCAAAGTCGTTGTCACGTAAAACTTTCGCCTGTATACCGACTTTACAGGCAACCAATTTTTTTTTAATATACTAATTTAGGCACTTACTCAAGCACCATAGTCTACAATTAGGCACCATTTTTATTAAAATAGAATACATAGTTCTTATAGCTACAATTTTTCACATTAACTGCTGACCAAATGCCTCTTCTCACACGGAGAAGGTTTGAGCATTAATCACCACGCTGGCTCAATGCGGGTTGGCGATTTCAAACTTATAATTAGAAATTATAAGTCCTCACGGTTAAAAAGTCCTAAGGTTGCCTCACGATGTTTTCCTTCACCGTTTGTCAGTGGTATCTAGATAATCATAGAAAGACGACCGACGTCCTTCTCATGCATGAGATTATGAGTTCGAAACCTACCAACGACAAGCACCAATGTGACTTTTTCCGAGTTATATGTACTTTCTAAGATTATTTAGACACCACTGACAAACGGTGAAGGAAAACATCATGAGGAAACCCTGGGCTTATAATGTGTAATAATAAGTTTGAAATGAGCAAGCGTGGTGATTAATGCTCAAACCTTCTCCGTGTGAGAAGAGGCTTTTGGTCAGCAGTGGACACATATAGGCTGTTAATGAGATGTGAATCAGTAATCCAAGACCAAAAATGGAGGTAAAAGATAGTTCATAACATTTTACTAATAATAAATTGGAGATTGTAGCACAATTAGAGATTTCATTAACACTTGAACATTATAAATATTTAACAATACTTAAAACTAAAAAGATCTTTACAAATACAGTTCTGCTAATCAATTTTAAACCTTATTGCTTTAGCTATGAGACTCATTTTCTTAGCTGCAACAAATAGCTCGCTTTTTGGTAGAGTTAAACAAATTTGTCACCACCGCTACTCTTCCCGTGGGTGTCACATACCCGACTAGACACTCCACATTAGACAGAGCCCGTGCAGCAGCGCTCTCTGATAACCCTGAACCTTGTACACTGCGACCTCCAACCCGCCTGCCTGCGGAGATTGTGACAAACCCTCTTATGTAGAGGACACTCATAGTGCAGCACTGGACTGTCACCATAGTACCTACGTTCTAAAATCATTCTTACATCTTTAACATAGAGTGCAAAATTGATTAGCAGAACGGTTAAAAGAAAAATATACATCTATACAAAATTATATAAGTATGTGTGTACCTAATAATGTACATATAAGCTGCATAAACATTGCTAATGGCTCATTTACTACAATTAGCTACCTTTACAATTTGTAGCGAAAACAAAAAAAAAAACTAAAAAAATCTTAAAAACTATAAAAAAAAATGCAAAAAAGTAAAAAAATTCACTGCATGTATAAAATAACGTCGTCGTCTGTACCTATGTATGTTTTTTAGGGGGGAAATTATCGAATGACTGCTCCCGCTTGGGTGAGGCTGGAGGGAGTGTCAGACTCTTACTGACTAAAAACCACCCCGTTCCTACTCCTGCACTTCGAGCCAGAGCCCCGGCAACCCGTTAAGTTTTCCGTGGCTTCGTATCGGCATCAGCCCTATTGGGCCCCAACCGAGTTGGTCTGAGGGATCGTACATAAAAGTGCGATGCGATACGAATTCGCAACGCAAAAAATACAATACGAATTGCTGCGATGCGATTTCGTGCGACAAGGCGTCTCCCAGAGTGACCATTCCTAACCGTAACCGTACTAAACGTATTTTAAATTGAAAACTAGGTCGTGACATGGATCGTAAAAAGAAGTGTGCACTTCTGTTATTGCTTAGGAGATACAGGAAAAGAAACAAAGAAGATTTTGGGAAGATAAGATATTGATGCGCGATGCGAATCAATTCGCAAGTTCTTGCGATGCGTAGAGGGAGCTCGCACATTTTGCGCATCGCAGTTTTGTGTACTAGCCCTAAGAGAAAACCTTAAACAGTACTTATAATATAGTAAGATAAATGACTAATATTCATTTCAATGTCCGTCTGGTAGATTATTTTAAACATTACACACGTATTTTTTATTTTCTTACAGAAACGAATACTTTCGACGATATATTGATTTGAAATGTCACGTGACGTCACTTCTATGTATATTATACGTAGAAATGACGTTTTAGCCCCCACTCCTGAACTTTGATTCGTTTTATTAAGTATTGTTTTATTATACGACAAAATAAAAAATACGTGTGTAATATTTTTCGTTACATAACTGACGGATAACTGGGTTTTTAATTGTCATACCCCGTAATTATAGTTATTATCACGGGCAAGAGATAGTTATCATACGAAATTCTATTTTTTACACTATAATTGCTTATTTTTTTAAAGAAATCTCTACTTTGGAACGAGCACCTACCTTCACTGACGGACGAAAATTGCCTAACGGTTTAATTGACATAAATGCTTTAATTTTGGACTTCCAAAATTCTTTTTTAGTCTATAATGACTTAAAAGACTAACGTTTCGTTTCCACCAACCACCCCTAAACCATCACTTAACTAGGAGTTACATAGCGTCAGGGAAAATCTAAACTAAGTACCTTTGTCGTTAGGTGTCATTTCTACCGTTCAAAACATCGTTAAGTGCCCCTTAGGTTAGCTTAGGGGTTAAATAAAATTTAAGAGAGCCCCTAAAACATCCCTTAATTTAGAGTTACTTAGCGTGAGGTGAACTTAATGATCTAAACTTTACCGTTAGGTGAGATCGGTAAACGAGCAGACGGATCACCTGATGGTAAGCAATCGGCGTCGCCCATGGACACCTGGAACACTAGAGGCGTTACAAGTGCGTTATCAGCCTTTTAGGGGTTGGGGGTTCTTTATTAAAAGAGAGGTTCGCGAAACCACGCATTAGACTTTTAGAAGTCCTTTTTTGGAAAAAATTGCTAAATAATAGAGTAGATGACTAATTTTTATTTCAATGTCCGTCTGGTAGATTATTTTAAAACATTACACACGTATTTTTTATTTTCTTACAGAAACGAATACTTTCGACGATATATTGATTTGAAAAGTCGCGTGACGTCACTTCTATGTACATTTTATACGTAGAAATGACGTTTTAGCCCCCAATCCTAAACTTTGATTCGTTATATCTACGTATCATTTTATACGTGTCTAATATTTTTTCTTTATCTAACTGACGGACTAATTAGATTTTTAATTAGACTTTTAATTTTCTTACCCCGTCAACTGCAATTATACACTTTCAATATTTTTCTTATTCTGAGCCATATTTACAAGCTGTCCAGAACTATTTAAGTGAACATCTAATGCTTTTTTCAAATTATTTTCAGTAGCTTGTCTAAAAATCGGCTTCAAAATGGCCGGCGCGACGAATTTTTTCTTATTATATTTTTGCGGGATCGTCCGACGTTTTAGCTTTTCATCGAAGCGAGTGTCGTCCCAAGTCAGATACGTATTCATCTTCATATGATATCTTAAATCTTCTGACAACTTTTCATCTTACTTACGTCTTCCAGAAGTAATAAAATCACTCGTTCCCGACCTTCTTTCAAAGCCAAGTTATGAGCCGTCTGAACTCCATATTCGCAAACGTTGAATCGAGAAAATTATTCGATAACAAAATAATAGTCTTCCGAGAATTCGATACCGATCGATTAATTTGGTCGGGGATGAAATCACCGACTTCCCAGTCTCGGTAGTGGACACAGACTTTCAATTTGAAGTCGTTTTCCAGTTTGGGCAGTAACTTGTCGACGTATTTTTGATCTTTGTGGGCGAACGAAATGAAAATGTCGTATGCTTTGGCAATATTGTCTGGGTCGTCGATGTACCAGCAAGGAAATAGCCTGTGTCCACAGTAATCAACAATTTGACGCGAAAAGATGAATGCTAGTATGAATAAAATTAGTAAAAATACGAATATGCCTCCGATTTCTGCGATTAAAGTTTGAGTGTAACACAGGGCGGAAATATCTAACACATTCACTAAGACACCGTCGGAACAGCCAATGAACTCATAATCTTTCACGATACCACTTCTACTTTTTAAAGCTAAGATATCATCTTTAGAATAACAATCACAATCGAACGGGTTATTCGCTAAATACAACGTCGTATTCGATTCTAAGAATCGAACAGGAATTGTTGTCAAACTATTATTCGAAAAATCGATCTCTCTCACCGATTTTGACGGTTCGAATGGGATTTTATGTAAACCTATATTAGTTAAGTTAGTAAACTTAGAGATAAATTGCTTAGATCTTTTGGTGGGTTGTAATTTCAGAGATAGTTCTTGAACGCCATACTCTGCAAGATCAGGGAAAGAAGGTGGCAGATAATCACAGTCATATAACAAATCATTGTACCCTGGCCTCACCAGAACAGAATTACAATTAAATCGAACTTCAGGCAACATTTCTTCGCATATTAAGTGGGTTGGGGATACATTTCTTAACAAATCCCCGTTTAAGTGGTCTGGGGATTTACACTCAGCGTCGCCTACGTTGAAATTCGGTTCGGAGGCAGGCTTTTTCCCCCGGAGACGCATAACGAAGTTATATATATGACAATCGCAGTTGAAAGGATTGTGGTCCAACATAAACACACTGTTTGATTGAATTACTGATTCGAATGATCAATCGACACAGTAGGCTGGTACATGCCTACAGTACTTATATTATTATACTGCAAGTCCACTGTCACCTTTTTGCTTAGGAACTGATAATTGTCCGGCTGAAAAAAAGAAAATATAATAATTATTATTAATTGGTATGTTTGTTAGTCTTCTATGTGAAAACTACTGAATGAAAGGTATATACACCCTGTAATCTATTTCGTTTTCGTCCGAAGTGAAATGGTTCTGTCTCGGTAATACAATAGTTTTACAAACAAAAAATAACTGGTGAACTATTGCATGAAGCAAACTGCGACAGCGCATACGAACTCATAGTACATTATCAAAACATCACGCCATGTCATTCTCGAATATGTATTTTTCGTCAGGTGGCACGTGCGATGTGAATAGTGCCTACTCTACGTCCTTTTTTTTAGGGGAAAATCATCGAATGACTGCTCCCGCCTGGGTGAGGCGGGAGGGAGTGTCAGACTCTTACTGACTAAAAACCACCCCGTTCCTTCTCCTGCACGTCGAGCCGGAGCCCCGGTAACCCGTTAGGTTCTCCGCGACTCCGAATTGGCATCGGCCCTGTTGGGCCAAATCTGTGGGCCTACTTTACGTCTAGTGTTTCATGTGCGTATTTACATGAATTTTGTTTTTTACCATTACTTATTTTTTGTGTTTACTTTATACATCGAAAGTACTCCTTATGGCAAGTTGTTTCACCGTGGGACGAGAACAAAATAGATTTCTCGGTGTATAGTAGGATTATAGTTTAAAACAGCATGTAGGGACATTTTTATTCCAATAAATCATAACTGTATTCGAAGAAGAAAAGTAGCTAGTAGTAGTCATTAATAATATCATCATCACAGCCTATAAATGCCCACTGCTAAGCAAAGCCTCTTCTCACACGGGAGTTTGAGCAATAATCACCACGCTTGCTCAATGCGGGTTGGCAATTACAAACATATAATTAGAAATTATAAGCTCAGGTTTCCTGAAGATGTTTTCCTTCACCGTTTGTCAGTGGTATTTAGATAATCTTAGAAAGTACACATAACTCGGAAAAAGTCACATTGGTACTTGCCGTTGGTAGGTTTCGAACCTGTACCGGGCCACCACGACAGTTATTACAGATTAATAATAAAATGTTGGTTTTTTCAAAATTCTCTGTCAATCGTACGTGGATTGGAATCATGCCTTGTGTATGGCAATAGGCTCACCCCCTATTACATGGGACTCACAACATAAGTAGTGAAAAGTGGGTGTTACATTGTACAGTGGCATTTAGTGCCGCAATGTGGACCTCTGCCTAATGTTATGTTATGTAAAGACACAAACAAACAAACGGGGCACGCTAAATGAACCCATCTTATCCATGGGCGGCGTTGATCGCTTACCATCAGGTGATCCGTCTGCTCGTTTGCCTCCTATTCCATAAAAAAAATATTAAAAAAGTGAAACTCACATTTAAATTCTCAATACGGTTATGAGACAAATCCAGTACTTCCAAATTGGTGAACACGATTCTCCAATCGTCAAAAATGGTGGTGATATTATTTCGACTCAATATCAACTTTTTTAACTCGATCAAAGTGTTGAATGGAGAATATACTTCAAATCCCATGTTGTATGCATATTCGATTTGTTCTTGCGATTTCAACGCCAATTTGTTTCCCATCATTGATATTGTTTGCAAAGACGTGGCGCCTTGGAACGCTAAGGCATTTATCGTGGTGAGTAAATTTTCGTTGATCGATAGTTCTTCCAATTTCCTTAGGCCAGCGAAGAAGAATCTGTAAGTGGGATGTTATAAGTGGGTATAAGTGGGTTGGTGATTAACGCTTGCCTTTTTATTTTAATTTTTTTAGGATTTTCTCCTGTGTCGTGCGTGCGTTTATAAACATACAAGTTCAAATACACATGACACGGACTCGGAACAACAATTTGTGAATTACACATAGAGTTCCTTCGTGCGGGAATCGAATCCGCTATGTTTTATATCCACAAATTGTTGTTCGGAGTCTGTGTCATGTGTATGTGTACTTGTATGTTTACGTTACAGGAGAAAATCATAGGAAGGGGTGGCAACGTTTAAAAAAAAACAAAAAGAAATTCCCCTTTATATATACACACACACACACACACACACCACACACACACACACACACACACACACACCCACGCACACGCGCACGCACACGCACACGCACACGCACACGCACACGCACACGCACACGCACACGCACACGCACACGCACACACACACACACACACACACCCACACCCACGCACACGCACACGCACACGCACACGCACACGCACACGCACACGCACACGCACACGCACACGCACACGCACACGCACACGCACACGCACACGCACACGCACACACACACACACACACACACACACACACACACATTGCAGAGTAAATAAAAGCTTATAAAAAACAATAGCTAAGAACTTACTCAGGCAAAACCTCCAAGTGATTCCGGTCCAGGTTCAAATACTTCAATTGCTTCAAAGGCGATAAAACTCCACTATTCAATTTAGCAATTCTATTATAGCTCAAATCAAGATGTTCTAAATTCTTCAAATCTTTGAAAAAATTATCCGGTATACCCGTTATCCGGTTTTGGGAGAGGTCCAAAGTGATAAGGGCCTCACAGCCGGTAATTAAGTCTTTCGGTAATTCAGCGAAGCAGTCCTTGATTATAAGATTCTTTAGACCTGGCAGATTGGTGATCGAGTTTGAATGTAAATGTAACTTGATGTCGTTTAATTGTATCGTTATCTGAAAATAATAAAGAGATATTTACCTTACTTATATCTAGACATATAATAAAACTGTTGAAGTTTAAATTCTGTACATTAAAAATAAAAAAAATAAATAGCAGCAGAAAGCTATAGTGAAACAACGCTTGCATTGTGTTTCGTCGTGTTAGAGAGGTTACCGGACGTCCAATAACCCCGCTCCCTCCCCAATCACTGAATATCTAACAATCCTCAAGTTCCTAATCCCCAAAAAGCCGGTAAAGCAATTATAACGCCTTTGGTGTTCCAGGTCTCCATGGGCTTCGATTGCTTACCATCATGGTGATCCGTCTGCTCGTTTACCGGCTTATTCCATAACAATATATCTATACATATGAGTAGCCTTATCATTATATACTTTTCCACGCGGACAAAGTCGTGCGTACAACTATTATCTTATACTATTACATAAAGCGGAAGAGTTTGTTTTTTTGTTTGTTTGTTTGAACGCGCTAATCTCCGTAACTACAAGTCTGATTTCACTAATTCTTTTTTGCTGTGTTTGTTATTATTAGAAGAAGGTTCATAAGACAGAAAAAATCCTAAAAATGTTACGGGAACGGGAGAAAACGGGAATGCGCGTACGAATCCCCGAAATCTCCACAATCCTCAAATTCCCAATTCCCAAAAGGCCGGTAACGCACTTGTAACGCCTTGGTGTTTCGAGTGTCCATGGGCGACGCCGATTGCTTACCATCAGGTGATCCGCCTGCTCATTTACCGGTTTATGATATAAAAAAAACGAAGTCGAAGGCAGAAGCTAGTAAAATATATATATACTTACATTTTCCAGTTGAGTCAAGTTAGTCAACAGTCCTGGAGCGATCTCTTCGATTCTATTCTTCATTATGTACAGAGATTTTAAGTTCGGCACGTGTTTAAATGCCCCGGGAGATATATTTGCTAGTCGACTCGTGGTAAACGATAGGTTTTCTAATGAGTCCAGACCTGTAACAAATAAAAATAAACATAAACATATTGACTTTATAATAACTATCGACTGATTCATTGATCTCTGGTTGATTTATAGACTTATTAAGCTTTTTTTAGGGGGGAAAATCATCGAATGACTTCTCCCGCCTGGTTGAGGCGGGAGGAAGTGTCAGACTCTTACTGACTAAAAACCACCCCGTTCCTTCTCCTGCACGTCGAGCCGGAGCCCCGGTTACCCGTTAGGTTCTCCGCGACTCCGAATCGGCATCAGCCCTATTATTGGGCCCCATCTGTGGTGGTCTGATGGCTCATTAAGGCGCGCGCGGTACGCGACGCGCCATACGCTCGGGTCTGTTTCTAAAACATAATGTCTAATTATAAAATACTAGCTTTTACCCGCGGCTTCGCACGCGTCAAAAAGGATAAAAGTAGCCTATGTGACATATACCATTACACACAGCGCCATCTATACCAATAATTTCGTTTTCCCTCGAGAATATCATTTTTTTCCAAGATAAAAAGTACCCTATTATTTAATAATCGAGACTTCTAACTTTACGTCTGCAAAAATTCAAAGCAATCGGTTTAGTAGTTACGGCGTGAAATCGGAACAAACAAACAAACTCACTTTCCCATTTATAATATTAGTAAGGATTTAAAACCACTTACCTAACAAAGAATCCACCTCCACGTCACTCAAACTGTTTCCCCAAAAGTTAAGCATCTTCAACTTGTGGAGACCAGCAAATATCCCCGAGGGGATCTCCGTGATCTCAGGGTCTGATAGCTCCAAGTACTCTAATCCTGGAGACTGGGCGAAAGTGGATATGTTGAGGGTCATTGCAGTGCTGGTGATTCGCAGCCGTCGAAGAGTTGGGAGTTTCTCGAGAGCTGATGGTGGTAGCGGGTCTTTTGGACCTGATAGCGAGAAAAATTGGATTAATTTCATTTAAAAAACTCCTAAGCTAAGATAGGTGACAACTAGATTTCGGGTTTCACCAAACTATAACTGACACCTAGGTAAGGGATTAGTTTAGGTGCTTCCTCACGCTATGTAACTCTTAGATAAGAGTTGATTTAGAGGTTGTTGGTGGAAACGGCCATTCATTTTATATGTACAGTAGCCCGGGTTACCGTATTACATGGGTCTCATAATAAGTAACATTAACAATGATAAGTGGGTGTTACTGCACCTCTGCCTACCACTTCAGGGATAAAAAGGCGTGATGTTATGCTAGGCCGAGTTATTTAATATACAGGTAAGAAAACAAAGATGGATTCAGTACAGAGACAGTAACGGCTCGTACACAAGACTGCGATGCGACGTCGCATCGCAAAAATGTGCGAGCTCCCTCTATGCTTCGCAAGAACTTGCGAATTGATTCGCATCACGCATCAAAATCTTATCTTCCCAAAATCTTTTTCGTTTCTTTTTCCTGTATCTCCTAAGCAATAACAGAAGTACACACTTCTTTTCACGATCCATGTCACGACCTAGTTTTCAATTGAAAATACATTTACTACGGTTGACGGTCGTCGAAGGAATGGTCACTCTGGGAGACGCCTTCGTCTTCGAAATGTCATCGCAGCAATTCGCATCATAGTTTTGTGTACGAGCCCTAAGTATTTGACAAATAGTTTGTTCAGCTATCCTTCACCAAATACTCAAAACACCACTTACCCTCAGATATCATGATCTCCTGTACCTCTCCTAGATGCTCTACATCATCAGCTCGCAAAGGTGCTCGTAACTTCGTGAGAGTCACAAAACTTATCGATGACGTCATCAGCGCGTCGTTCAGGCAGGGGATGATGGAAGGAGGACATCCCTTCAGCCAGAGGGATGGGAGAGTTTGATTATTGGCGAAATTGATCTGAGGGAAATCTGCGCAGGTGAGGTTTGCACCCTGGAATGAGAAGAAGGTTTTGTTAATTCACATCAACAGTCTATAAGTGGCCACTGGTGAGCTAGCCTCATCCTGCATGGAGGTTTGAGCATTAATCACCATGCTTTCTCAATGCCGGTTGGCGAACTTATAATTAGAAATTATATTTTAAGTCCAGGTTTCTTAAGACTGCCTCGTTGGCCGTTCGATTCCCGGGTCGGGCAAAGAATTACTGGGTTTTTTTTAAAAAATCTCAGTAGGTAGTAGCACGGAGTTTGGAATTGTGCCCGGTATATGGCAATAGGCTCACCCCCTATTACATGGGACTCATAACATAAACAGTGAAAAGTGGGTGTTACATTGTACATACAGTGGCATAATGTGCCTCTGCCTACCCCTTCGGGGATAAAAGGCGTGATGTTATGTTATGTTCATTGATTATTTTCATGTAGATATGTATTTTGGCAAAGCGACAGAATGGCGTGCATTGGATTTTTTGCATTTTCTAATATTAGAAATTAGTATCGTGGAAAAAACTGTCAGATGTTCTTCAAGTAGTCTCTTTTTCCTTCGTTTTTGAAAAACGTTATCCGCACACGAGGGCAGTCTCAAAGAATTGCTCCGTGTCAGAGTCGAACCCACAACACGTTGTACAGTTACCGTAAGCACGAAAACCTGACGTCAAAAACAAATATAGATACAAATAAATTAAATTTTGTTGTAAGTGTTTTAACTCGTCGAGTACCGTATTTATTTTACTTATTTATTATACTTTAGGGAACAGAGAGTATAGTTCCCTAAGATCGGAAAAGGAGGATCCTCCGACCAGGCGAGGTGATCGTGCTTGGCGGGCTTTCTGCCCAACAGTTGTTCGTTGGGATTTTCTATCCGTGTTTATTCGCTTGTAAACTTTGCATGTGCGATGTAGGATTCTTGTGACGTCATCCGTTGACATGTGACATGCGTCGCCACAACACAATTGAAGAACAATAGGTTGCGGTCACCGGTGACCGCTCGGTGTTTGACAGTTTAATATTTGTTTTAATACACACATACCCAGGACCAATTACCCTCCCCTTCCCCAATCTCCCCAATCCCTGAATCTCCAACGATCCTCAAACTCCTAATCCCTAAAAAGCCGGTAACACACTTGTAACATGGGTATCCACAAACATCGCTGATTGCTTACCATCAGGTGATCCGTCGTCGTTAAATATAAATTATATAAAGCTGAAGAGTCTAATTGTGTCTTTAAACACGCTAATCTAAGGAACTACTGTGCCTTTAGCCAAACGCCACTTTAGCGCTTGTCTACAGAGAGAGTAGAAAACTAAATGTATGGGGATGACACTGACAAGTGTCAAAATTTACGTCAATTCCATATGATTTAGTTTTCTATTCTACATGTAGACAAGCGCTAAATGGCATTTGGCTACAGCTAGTCCGATTTGAATAATTCTTTTTGTGTTGGATAGCTCATTTATCGAGGAAGGCTATAGGCTATAAAACATCATGCTACGATGAATAGGCGCTGAGCAGAGCGGGTACGTGTCGTGGTGGCCCGGAGGTTGAAGACACCTGCTTCTCATGCACGAGGGTGCAGGTTCGAAACTTACCAACGGCAAGTATCAATGTGACTTTTTCCGAGTTAAATGTACTTTTTAAGATTATCTAGACACCACTGACCAACGGTGAAGAAAAACATCGTGAGGAAACCTGGGCTTATAATTTCTAATTATAAGTTTGAAATCGCCAACCCGCATTGAGCAAGCGTGGTGATTATTGCTCTAACCTTCTCCATGTGAGAAGAGGATTTGCTCAGCAGTGGGCATTTATAAGTTGTTGATGATGAGAGCGGGTACAAAAATAAAATGGATAAAAACCAATACATACCTGACATTGTATGTTGACATACTCATTGTTCCTCGCGTTATATGTTAGTTTGTTGCTGCCAGACTTGCATCTGTATTCCAGTTCATCATACAGCCCGCAGTAGCAGTTTGAGGGACAATATAGTGCGAGCGCAGCCGGGGCTAGAATTAGCAGTAGTAGTAACCGCATCTTGCTATGTGGCACACATCACTGTGGACAAGAGAAAAGGTACAATTATTAAAATAATCGTTAAAAATTTATTGCGACATCCATGACAATAGGGTAGATGCCTAATTTTCATTTCAATGTCCGTCTGGTAGATTATTTTAAATCATTACACACGTATTTTTTATTTTCTTACAGAAACGAACACTTTCGACGATATATTGATTTGAAATGTCGCGTGACGTCACTTCTATGTACGTTTTATGCGTAGAAATGACGTTTTAGCCCCCACTCCTAAACTTTGATTCGTTTTATCTAAGTATTGTTTTATTATACGACAAAATAAAAAAATACGTGTCTAATATTTTTTCATTATCTGACGGACTAATTAGATTTTTAATTTTGATACCCTGGACACAACCCAATTATTGAAAGTGTGATTATTTTATAATATTTCATTGTATTGAACAGTCCAAATATATCTTTTTTTATTAAGGAAAGTACCCAATTATATAGAACTATAACTACTCCTACTACTCTTGATCTTGGTCGTGGTGGCCCGGAGGTTAAGACGCCTACTTCTCATGCATGAAGGTGCGGGTGCGAAACCTACCAACGGCAAGTACCAATGTAACTTTTTCCGAGTTATATGTACTTTCTAAGGTTTTTTTTTAAAAAGGGACAAGCGGCCACAACCTCCCGAAACCGCTGCAACTCCTGTGCACCAGGATCTACAGTAGATACAACCATGAAAACACCGGAACACTGAAGTCCCGCGTCCCAGGGACATGAGTAACTGTCTTGGTTCCCGCAACGAAGTGAATCAGAAGATATTATAAGAGGAGAAGAAGAAAAATCTATAGTTTCCACTTCCCTCGGTGAATTACTGCAGGAGACAGAATGAATTAAGCCTAAAGGCACAAAGAAAAGAGACTAGAACTGGGTGAAGCCCAGTCGCCAAGCACCACGGAAATTTGACTAAAAACTAAGTGTAATCTACCAGATGGACATTAATATAAAATTTAAGAAACTACACTATTTCCTTTTGTTGGCATTTCGTCTGTTTATACCCAGTATGTATGTATGTACAATAATTTTATCAAAAAACCCGATAGCATTTCTTTGTGTAGTTAGAAAATGAGTCGTCTGACATCGTGAACATTGTGATTCATCTTAATATTATGCTAATTATGAAACTAACTCACTGTTTGCAGTAGTAGGAGTCATACATACATAATCATACATACATATAATAGAACTGTAGAAGTGTAAATTCTGTACACTGAAAATATTTAAAAAGTAATAGCTAGTCCTTTTTTTTTTAAGTGGGGAAAATCATCGAATGACTGTTCCCGTCTGGGTGAGGCGGAAGGGAGTGTCAGACTCTTACTGACTAAAAACCACCCCGTTCCTTCTCCTGCACTTCGAGCCGGAGCCCCGGTAATCCGTTAGATTCTCCGCGACTCCGAATCGGCATCAGCCCTATTGGCTAATGGTTCTTTGAGGCGCACGCAGAACGCTCGGGTCTGATTCTGGTCGGACGGGGAGCCACCCATGCTCGCCGTCCGCAGGCCCGCGCTTACGGTGGCCGGAGATCGTCCCGCGATCAATTATCGTAGGTATATGTGTTTATATAGACGCTTTGTAGTTTCTGTCTACCCACGACCGCGGAACAAAGACGCGAATTTGTGTATATATGTCTGAATGTATGTCCACACGGCCACACATCAATCTACTATATAAAAATATGTCGGGTTTTCCTTCCTGACGCTATAACTCCAGAACGCACGAACCGATTTCCACGGTTTTGCATTCGTTGGAAAGGTCTCGGGCTCCGTGAGGTTGATAGCAAAGAATCCTTACTTCCTTACTAATATTATAAATCTGAAAGTAAGTTTGTTTGTTTGTTCCACCTTCACGCCGTAACTACTCAACCGATTGCTTTGAATTTTTGCAGACGTAAAGTTAGAAGTCCGGATTAAATAATAGGGTACTTTTTAACCCGGAAAAAATTGATATTCTCGAGGAAAAACAAAAGTATTGGTATAGATGGCGCTGTGTGTATTGGTATATGTCACATTGGCTACTTTTTATCCTTTTGTGACGCGAGCGGAGCCGCGGGTAAAAGCTAGTGTTACATAAAACGAGGCCATCTGGTGGCGAAATGGAGTTCGTCAGGTTTGCTAGTCTATACATAAAAACCAGTTTATCCTGGTGTCGCGTCGCATCATCTTCCCGCACATTTAACGTTCAGTTTATGCTGGTTATGTAAAGCTCGATGTGTAGCCGTGTGTACATACATTTAAACTATTTTTAACGTCTGTACCCTGAATGTATTTGATGCACAAAGAAACCAAGAATACATTGAAAATATCTCCGGCCAATTGAGCAGATCACTCTTCATACAAAAATAGACCTTATTCCACACAGTATAAGTATAAATACTGCTTGCTTTGGCTAGAAGGCGTAGGTAACTGCTGTATTTATTCAATTGCAGTGGCTGAAATATGTACCTGACGTTTTCCGAGTTATATGTACTTTCTAAGATTATCTAGACACCACTGACAAACGGTGAAGGAAAACATCGTGAGGAAACCTGAATTAATAATGTCTAATTATAAGTTTGAAGTCGCCCCGCAGCAGGTCTGGAATAACAATATATAGGCTACTTTTTATCCCACGAGAACGCGGACAAAGCCACTGGTAGAAGCTAGTATTGATATAAAATGTCGTATGACATAAACATTTAAATAAAACATGAATTCAACTGAAATCGATATCATTTCAGCGATAACTAGACAGTTGTTTGCTTAGTTGCGCATACGCAAGGCACAGGAAGTGAGGATGTGACGTCATGATATACACACGAGCTCACTGTGTAGGCGCAGATCACATGGAATACAATCATGATAATATGTGAGTACTAATAATATTTTTATCAGTTGTCTGATTTTTTGCAGAATAGACGGGATCACCTGATGGTATGGTGGTCGCCCATGGACACCTGGAACACTAAAGCAGTTTCAAGTGCGTTGCTGGTCTTTTGAGGAAAGCTATGGGCTATAAAACATCACGCCATGGTCAATAGGAGTGTGGGAGAGCTATGCTTGTGCACTGCTGGGCCGGCTCGACCGGAGTGATACCACCAACGACCAGAAAACCATAGTGAAACAACCAGAGCATTGTTTTATCGTGTGAGTGAGGTTACCGGAGGCTCAAACACCCCCCCCCCCTTTCCCATCATCCCAATCCCTGAATCCCCAACAATCCTCAAATTCCTAATCCCTAAAAAACCGATAACGCACTTGTGTTCCAGGTGTCAATGGGCGACGAATAGGAGCCGCCAGAGACAGAAGAGGCAGTAGCTAGCGTTCATCATCAACAGCCTATAAATGCCCACTGCTGAGCAAAGCCTCTCCTCACACGGAGAAGGTTTGAGCATTAATCACCACGCTTGCTCAATGCGGGGGCGATTTCAAACTTATAATTAGAAATTATAAGTCCAGGTTCCCTCACGATGTTTTTCTTCACCGTTTGTCAGTGGTGTCTAAATAATCTTAGAAAGTACATATTATAACTCCGAAAAAGTCACATTGGTACTTGCCGTTGGTAGGTTTCGAGCCCGCACTCTCATGCATGAGAAGCCAGCGTCTTAAACCTCCGGGCCACCACGATATAGCTAGCGTTAGATCAGTGTTTAAATTCACAGTAATTACTTATTTAAAAAACAAAATTAATTAGTTTACGTCTACAGAGAGGTCGTTGACACCAATATGGCGCCTGCTTCACAATTGATGCAGATACTATTTAATCAATTACTTTTGTTTTTTAATTTGAAATCCCGTAATTATTATCATTGTAATCAATAACGGACTTATTGCAAAATTTTTATTGGGGGGGGGGGAGGGGAATCATTGAATGATTTCTCATTCTCTTTCTCCAGATTTATTTTTGACATAACAATTTGGATAAAAATTAGTATTATTTTTCAATGAATTTAGTTTAATGAATAAATTGTATCAAATGAAGATTATTGTAATGTCTAAGATTTGCATGGACTTAGCTTATTTAATATTTCTACACCAGAAATGGTGGTATATGTGTTTCTATGTTTAATGTAAGATCTCAGTGTACCATGTACTTAGAAATAAATATAGTTTTATCTTTTCTTTTCCCGCCTTGGCGAAACGAGGCGAGAGGGAGTGTCAGACTCTTACTGACTAAACACCACCCCGTTCCTTCTCATGCACTTCGAGCCGGAGTCCCGTTAGGCCTTCCGCGTCTCTGTATCGTCATCAGCCCTACTGAGCCCCATCCGTGGTGGTCTAATTGCTAATTGAGACGCACGCGGAACGCGCAGGTCACACTGATGTGACCTGCATGTTTTTCTTTATATTTGATGGGCCGACGTTTGCCCACTATCTCGCCTGGTGGTGCACGATGACGCGGTCTACGATGGAGCACGTCGTCCCATAAGCAACCTATTCACTCGGGCCTTGAAGACTCCCAGGTTATACCCTTCAGGAAACACAGACTCTGGCAAAGAATTCCACTCCTTAGCAGTACGCACAAGGAAGCTTGATGCGAAGTATGTTTGTTCGCGATTACCTGAACCAATTTTGATGCGGTTTTCAGAAAAACGTTTGTTATACTTAGGAGAAGGTTTTAACAAAACATCACGCCTTTTATCCCCGAAGGGGTTGGCAGAGATGTACATTATGCCACTGTGCAATGTAACACCCACTTTTCACTATTTATGTTATGAGTCCCATGTAATAGGGGGTGAGTCTATTGTCATATACCGGGCACAATTCCAGACTCCATACTACTAATGAGAATTTTAAAAAAACCCCAGTAATACTTTGCCCGAATTAGGAATTGAACCCGAGACCCCTTGCCCGGCAGTCGCACTTGCAACAACTCGGCCAACGAAGCCGAGAAGGTTTTAGTACCTATATAAAGAAACCGACTTCACAAAAGAGGGAGTCGACGTCGAGAAAACCTAGGTAAAACCAAGCTTGCTT